TCTAGCCCCGTTTCAGGCGCTCGGTTAGCACTTCTGCCAGTGGCTGTTTGTTATATTGGACAGTGTAGTTCTAGAGCTTTAGAGAATAATCCTATTTTTCTTTACTAGTGCCTAGCACAGTGCTTGGCCTATAACAGGCACTAATTAAAGAATTTTTTGAGTGAATGAGTAAGTGAATAAATACAAGTGCTAGAGAACCAGTAATAAAAGGTAATTCTGTTTGGGAAATAACTCTTGTTGAGACCTGTGGATTTGGCACATAGATTTGAGTGGCTGGAATCTGTATTAAAGAAACTTATTTTTATCTTTGCAGCATTATGGATCCAAGTCTCTTGAGAGAACGGGAGCTGTTCAAAAAACGAGCTCTTTCCACTCCTGTAGTAGAAAAACGTTCTGTATCTTCTGAATCATCTTCATCATCATCAAAGAAGAAGAAAGCGAAGCTAGAACATGGAGGATCATCAGGCTCTAAACAAAATTCTGGTTAGTAGAATTGTCTTTTTTTTTTTTTTTTTTGCAGTATGCGGGCCTCTCACTGTGTGGCCTCTCCCGTTGCGGAGCACAGGCTCCGGACGCCCAGGTTCAGCAGCCATGGCTCACGGGTCCAGCCGCTCCGCGGCATGTGGGATCTTCCCGGACCGGGGCACGAACCCGTGTCCCCTGCATGGGCAGGTGGACTGTCAATCACTGTGCCACCAGGGAAGCCTGACTTTTTAGGACTGTTCAGCTTTTATTTTTCGGGAAACCATTTAGTTCATTTTTCAGTTCATCATTCATATTGTTTGTTAGGTACTTTGTTAAGTGTAAGGGATGGGATGATGAGAATTTTTTGCTCTTAAGATGTTAATAGTTGTTTTGTAGTTAGAATTTAGGTTATTATCTTTAAGAAGATAAAACACTTCACTGAGGTTTAATCTATATACTGTACCGTTCACTCGTTTTAAGGGTATAATTCAAAGATTTTTAGTAAGTTTACAGAGTTGTGCAACAACTATTACTACAATTGAATTTTTGTTCCCACCTCAGCCCCTGATAATTAGTAATCTACTTCTTTCTCTATATATTTGCCTTTTCTGGACATTTCATATAAATGGAATTGTACAATATGTGTTCTTCAGTATGTGGCTTCTTTTACCTGGCATCTGTTGAGATGATAATGTTGTTCTTCTTTGTTAATATGGTTTATTACATTAACGGATTTTCAGATGTTAAACCAACCTTGCATTCTTGGAATAAATCCTACTTGGTCATGGTGTGTAATCCTTTGTTGTGGGATTCAGTTTGCTGACATTTTGTCCATGATTTATCCATGTTGTAGTATGTATCAATATTTCATTCCATTTTATTGCTGAAGAGTATTCCATTGTATGATATATACCGCAGTTTGTTTATCTGTTCACCAGTTAATGGACATTTGGATTATTTCCACTTTTTGGCTATTATGAATAGTGCTGCTGGGAACATTCACATACAAGTCTTTGTATGGATGTGTATTTTTTTCCTCTTGGATAGAATTCCACTTAAGAGTGGAATTTCTTGGTCATGTGGTAAATTTATGTTTAATTTTTTAAGAAACTACCAAAATGGCTCTACCATTTTACATTTTCACCATCAATGCATGTGGGTTCCATTTTTTTTTTTCTTATTCTTGCCAACACTTGTTATTCCTTGTCATTTTGATTGTAGCCATTCTGGTGGGTGTGAGGTGGTATCATTGTGGTTTTAATGTGCAATACCCTAATGACTAATTATGTTGAACATCATTTCATGTGTTATTGATCATGTGTCTTTTGGTGAAATGTCTATTCAGAATTTTTTGCCCATTTGAAAAAATTGGGTTGTCTTCTTCCTACTGATTTGTAAGAGTTCTTTATATATTCTGGGTACAGTTTCTTGATCCAATATCACAAGTGTTCTTGGTGTCATATTTAAGAAATCTTTGCCTAACCCAAGGTCATAAAAAATTCCTCCTGTGTTTTCTTCTAAGAGTTTTATAGTTTTAGCTCTTAGATTTAGGTCTGTGATATGTTTGAGTTGATTTTTTTATGTATGGATTAACATAGGGTGTAAATTCATCTTTTTGTGTGTGGTTATTCAGTTATCCCTGCACCGTTTCTTGAAAAAACTTTCTTTTCCCCATTGACTTGCATTGGCATCATTGTTGAATATCAGTTGACTACAAATGAGAGTTTTTTCTGGAATCTAAATTAGGTTCTGTTGACTCATGTCTGTCCTTATGCTAGTACGATATTCTCTTGATTGCTGTAGCATTCTAGTGACATTTTGAAATTGGGAAGTGTGGAAGTAAGTCCTTCAGTTTTGTTCTTTTTTGCAAAGTTGTTTTGGTTTTTCCTGGAGCCTTTGCATTTCCATATAAATTTTAGGATCAGCTTGTCAGGTCTCATCTGTAAAAGAGCCAGCTGTGATTTTGATAGGGATTGCATTGAGAATTGCTATCTTAACAATATTAAGTCTTTCAGTCAATTAACATGGCTCTCTTTCCGTTTTTTTAGGTTTCTAATTTCTTTCAACAATGTTATGTAGTTTTTAATGTATGTCTTGCTTTGTTAAATTCTAAATATTTTATTCTTTTTGATATTGTGAATGAAATTGTTTTCTTAATTTGATATTTGGTTTGTTAATTGCTAGTATATGGAAACACAGTAGATTTTTGTACACTGATCTCAAACTCTGCAACCTTGCTGAACTCATTATTTCTAGTTTTTTGTGTGGATTTTTTAGGATTATCTATATGTAAGATTTTGTCATCTGCGAATAAGAACAGTTTTACTTCACCTTGCCAATATGAATGCCTTTTCTTTCTTTTTCTTGACTGTTAATATTGGCTAGTAATAGAAGTAGTGAGTGTGAATACCTTTTGTTCCTATCTTAGGGGGAAAGCATTCAGTCTTTCACTATTATGTATGTTAGCTGCAGGGTTTTTGTAGGTGCCCTTTATCAGGAGTTCCCCTCTATTTTTAGTTTGTTGAGAGCTTTTAATATAAATGGGTAGTGGATGTTGTTAAATGCTTTTTCTGCATCTATTGAGGTAATCATGTTTGTTCTTATTTTTTATTAATATGGTATATTACATTAATCTGTTTTCAGATGTTAAACCAACCTTATATTCTTGGAATAAATCCTACTTGGTCATGGTGTGTAATCCTTTTTATTTGTTGTGGGGTTCACTTTGCTGAATAATCTACTTCTGTAATATTTTGTACAGAGTTTTTGGTGATATTTTGTACAGGATTTTTGTATCTGTACTCGTGAGGAATATGGTCTGTAGTTTTCTTCTCTTGTGCTTATTGGGGTATTTCTGGCCGCAAACGATTTGCGAAGTATTTCCTTTTCCTCTGTTTTCTGGAAAAGTTTGTGAAGGTTTGATATAAATTTCTCCTTAAATATTTGATAGAATTCACTAGGGAAGCCATTTGGGCCTGAGCTTTCCTTTGTGGGATGCTCTTGGTTGAAATTTCTTCTTATAGATCTATTCAGATTTTCTATTTCTTCTTGAGTTAATTTGGTAGTTTGTCTTTTTAGGGGTTTGTCCATGTCATCATCTACATTGTCCAAAGTTTTTTAGAGTATTCGCTTTTGATTTCTATAAGGTCAATAGTGATATCCCTCCCTTCTTTCATTTCTGATTTTAGGAATTTTTTGTTTTATTTGTTTTTGTTTTGTTTAGTCCAGTTTAAAGGTTTGTCAATTTTGTTGATCTTTTAAAAAAACAACTCTTTGTTTCACTGATTTATCTGTTTTTCTGGTTTTTAAAAATTTCATTTATTTCCACTTCAGCATTTATTATTTCCTTCCTTCTGCTTATTTTGGGTTTAGTTTACTCTTAGGCTATTATCTTTTAGACAGCTAGGTCAGTGCAACTTAACTCACAACAGAAATTATTTACCTCCTTCAAAGTGTAGCAGTGTAATCTTTATTGATGTCATCTTGTTAGATGTTCTTCAAGCTGTTGTACTGATGTTAAAGCAGAGCCAGTCTTTTTACCAAAGGAGGTTTATCATTCTTGTTAGCACGTGCATTAGGTTTGATTATCTCTCATTACAATGAAATTTACATGAATTCATAATAAAATTTTACAAATTGTTTTAAACATTAACAGAGACCTGCCTTAGACCTGGTCTCTTTGATCTGCTTAAGAATATCTTTGCTCCAAAATCTCAGTGGCTTAAAACAACAAAGGTTTGTTTCTCTTTCATACCACATGTTTATCATGTGTTGGCAGGGGTCTTAGCTCATTACAGTCACTCAAGGACCCAAGCTGATAGAGTGGCTGATATTTCAAATGTTGTTGGTTTTGTTTCAATGCCCGAGGGAAAGAGAGCTCTGGAAGATCTTGCCTGGCAGTTAAATGCTGTGGTCTGGAGGTGATACACATCAACTCCTCTCACAGCTCATTAGCCAGAGCTAGTCACAGGGCTCTACCCAGCCAGTTCCATGTGCTCAGAAAGAGGGGAGCTGGAAATACTGGGTGTAAACACTAAAGACTACCATACCACCCTAGCTCGGGGCACTACCATTGGATTGCCCAGTCAGCTGCTTGTCAGGTGTCCTGGTTTAGCTTCCCTACTGGCCATTCTCTGTACAAGTCAGTGATTTTTCTAATCATGAATCTGATGATGTCATTCTCTGTTTAAGGCTGATCATTGCTTTTCAGACAAAGCCCACCTTTTCCTGCAGCCTACATGCTGTACTTGATCTTGTCCCCTTATCTATTGTGCCCGTATCTCATTTTTCTCCTTGTACTCTGTCCTAATGATACTGGCTTGTTGCTACTCTAACATGCTTCACTCTCTTGCCTCCTGGCCTTTGCTCATATTATTTCGTCTTCCTGGAACGTTCTTTCTTACCTCCTTCCCTCTTTCCTTTGGTTAACTCCTATTCCTCTTCTAGGTTTCAGCTTTAAAGTCATTCCCACTTTCCAATTTGTGTTTATTGCTTGGCCTTTGAATTCCCAGAGCACTCCCTGTTTCTGACAAAGCTATTGTGTGCCACTGTAATTGCATGATTACTTGTTTGCCATTGTAACCTAATCCCTCACACATGGAAGCACTCAGTACATATTTGTTAAATGGCTAAATAGATTACAGGGTAGGGTAGGGAAAAGGTAGTGTAGGTTATCAAAAAATCTAGTTATCAAAGGACCTGTATGCTTCCCATCTATGGCAAGGACCCCAAAGTTTTCCATTTATGAAAATGTGGTTTTAACAAGTGCTCAGAGTAGCTCTTGGTTACCAGAATATTTTGTATACCTAAGTTCCACAAGTCCTTTGAAAGTTGGTTATGTTATTTTTTTCTAATGTTAAAAAAATATATAAAAACATTGTGTGGAAAAGTGATTTCAGGCTGGCATGTAGGGCTCTTTAAGTTGAAAATGACAGATACTTATTTTTCACTTCCCATATCAAGTATTTTCTGTTTTGCCATAATTTTCAGTTGCTTCTTAATGTTGATGAGACACATTTAGTTAAGTGCCGTTACTTCCAATTATTTTGTTATTTTGAGTAATGCTATTGTAAACATCTTTGTATCTTCAGTTTTTTCTTTTGAAGTAATTTCTCAGAATAAATTTCCAGGAGTGACATTTCTGGTCTAAGGGCAGTTATAGTGTAGTGGTTAAAAGCATATTTTGGTTTGCTCATGGGTAGCAGCAAAATAGTGTCAGGGTTATAAAATATAATACTGTACAGCCTTTGGCATTCCAAGAAATAAGATTGCCATATTTCTTAACAGGTGTTAAGTGGTCCTAGCTTTTGACTTGCTCTTGACTTTTTTGGCAGTCTTTTTTTTTTTTGGCCACACTGCGCGGCTTTCGGGATCTTAATTCCCGGACCAGGGATTGAACCCAGGTCCCGGCAGTGAAATCATCCAGTCCTGACTACTGAACTGTCAGGGAGTTACCTGGCAGTCTTTTTGCATTGGGTGTCTTAGTCCTTAGGAGTGTGAATGCGAGAGACATAATGAAAGAACAAGCTCAAGAAATGCAATTTAGGGGGGTATGCTAGAAAGTTTTAGTTTGAAAACAGCTCATCTTAGACCATGTATTTCTTACTAAACAGTAAGTCAATTTTATGAAAAGTTTATGCAAGTGTCCTTGTGACCTTGCTGAGTATTTTGAGTCTTTTTTTCCCACACTAATCCTACATAAAACTTAAATCTTTAAAAATATTTCAGTTGTCTTCAATAAACTAGAAAGTATTGCTTCTTAGTAAGTAGGGACTTACGTATAAGTGGGAATATTTTACTGTGGATTTAGATAAGTATTTTAAGTAGCATTTTAATTACCAAAATATATGAAGGATAGTACTCTGTTTTTTAGTTCACATGGTTTGTTTAGGTATGTTATTTTGGGATCATTAGCCTTTCTTTTGGTTTCCAGTTTACTTTTTAATGCCTAGTATTGAGCTCTAGGAATCTTTTAACTAGTTTTTGAAGTGTTATTTTAAATAGATTGGTAAATTATTCGTAAATTATTCACATTTGTGAAAGTTTTATAGTATATTTAATGAAATCGATACACACACAGAAAGTGCATATTTAACTTGTTTTTCCCTTCTAGTAGAAATCTTTTAATTATTCGTAGTCGGTTTTGTAATAACGGTTGACCTCAGAAATTTTTCTTTTTTTCTCAGTAATTGACGGCTGTTTTCAGAGCTTTTGTTCATCTTATGTAGAGTACTAGACCACTTCAGTTTCACGTTTTCTGATGTTGTCCATCATACTTCTAAGAGGGTTCGGTTCATTTTTCAAGTCTTTCACAGTTTTGTTTTTTACACAGCAACAGCAGTCAAGCGCTTCATAAAGGAAAGCCAGCACCACTAAAGATACCACTGTAAATATAAATAAAAGCAGAATGACAAAGCAGGCAGTGTTCCAGTTATCATGGAAAGGGTAAATTTTTTGAACTTGAAAACCAAAGTACTGATAAACAGATGTAGTTGTTTCATTCCAGAGGCTTGAGCTCTGGGAGGCCATTCTTAGAGATTCCACTTCTTATATAGCTCGTTTGAATCTGTAGAAAGGTAGAAAATGAATATATGTAACCAAACTCTACAGATTGGTCAATTCAAATGTCAATTTCTAAGATTTGTTAGTAAATTTATATAGGCTGCATGAGTATTCCTTATTTTCTGTCAGAATTAATGTCTGAATGGTATTCTTGAAATTTTTTCGATATTTATGCAGTGTACTCTGTAAACGATACTATGTAGTTTTTAATTTATTTTATTTTTTTATTTTTATTTTTTTGTGGTACGCGGGCCTCTCACTGTTGTGGCCTCTCCCGTTGCAGAGCACAGGCTCTGGACGCGCAGGCTCAGTGGCCATGGCTCATGGGCGCAGCCGCTCTGCAGCATGTGGGATCTTCCCGGACCAAGGCACGAACCCGTGTCCCCTGCATCGGCAGGCGGACTCTCAACCACTGCGACACCAGGGAAGCCCCCATACTATGTATTTTTTAATGTATATCATTTGTTAGACAAATATTTATGATCAAGCTTCATATACAGAAATTAACTGCTAATGGAGGGAGAAAAAAGGCAGCTGAATTGGTTTAAAATTTGATTAAAGCACCGGTCAGAGAGCTGTTATCTACAAAAAAAAATCTTAGCATTTTAAAGTTGTGTTCTTCAAACTGTCTGCAGAAGAGCTTTTCCCATTACCCTTGTGGATCCTTCTCACCTCCTTGGTTCAGTGTATTTCTGTCTATTTCCACTCCTTTAAACTTCCAGGACAGGTGATCTGAATCAGGAAATAATGGCTGAGTGAAAAATAGTAGAGAAAGAAAAGCCAAATAATGACAGTTTTCAGAATAAGGATAAAACAGTTTTAGATTAAAGTTGCCTATGAAGAGACCTTAATCTTAGGATTTTTTTTGGTTATGTATATGATAGTCTTAAATGTTTCATAATACCTAAATGACCAATGGACAGGAATATTAAAAAAAAACAGGCAAATGCAGCATCCCAAAGGTATGTATTATTAAATTATTATTCCATCTCACAGAATTAACCAGTGAGTTAAAGTGTCACTGTTCGTGCATTAAGCTTTGCTCTTGTTGACCTGATACTTGTTGGACCTTAAGTGGGACTGTAAAGATTGAAGATCTGATAGTATTAAAAATAATAAATGATTTTATTATCTTAATCATTCAAAAATATGTTTTTAAGGGGACTTCCCTGGTGGTCCAGTGGTAAAGAATCCACCTTCCAATGCAGGGGACCGCGGGTTCAGTCTCTGGTTGGGGAACTAAGATTCCCACATGCTGCAAGGCTACTGAGCCTGCGTGCCTCAACTAGAGAGCCCACGTGCTCTGGAGCCTGCATGCCCAACTAGAGAGAGAAAGCCTGAACACCACAACTAGAGAGAAGCCCACATGCCGCAATGAAGATCCCGCGTGCTGCATCTAAGACCTGACCCAGTCAAAAATAAATAAACAAAAACCCCCAAAATAGCTCAAGTTTTTTGAAAAAATTATAAAATATCTCTATATACTAAGAAACTTTTTGAAATGAGAGGAAAAAACCCCATAGTTCCACTTCCCTAATTCAGTGACTGTTGTCAGTTTGTGTGCTTGCTTTTATGAAAATGTTTTGTGTGATTTTTTTGCTACATAGTTGTAAATAGACTTTCATTCTTGTAAACAAATGTTTATTGATTACCTACTGAGTAACAAATCCTTTTTTAAAAAATATTTATTTATTTGTTTGGCTGCGCTGGGTCTCAGTTGTAGCATGTGGGATTTTTGTTGGGTACACGGGATCTTTAGTTGTGGCATGCGGGATCTTTAATTGCGGCATGCAGGATCTTTAGTTGCGGCACACGGGATCTTTTAGTTGCAGCATGTGGGCTCTTAGTTGCGGCATGTGGGATCTAGTTCCCTGACCAGGGATTGAACCCTGGCCCCCTGTGTTGGGAGCATGGAGTCTTAACTGCTGGACCACCAGGGAAGTCCCAACAAATACTTTTCTAAGTGCTGGAGATAACTTGTGTGTGAGAGTATGTTCCATTTATAGAAAATTTCAAGGTACTACAGAAGTATGAGTATAATAAACACCCATGTGCTTATAACACAGCTTCATTGATCAATTCTTGGCCAGTCTATATCTCTGCTCACTTCCATTCCATGGATTATTTTGAGGCAAATCCCAGACATCATGTCACTTCATCTAGGAATATTTCAGTATATATCTCTTAAAAGGTGAGGACTCTGTCTTTAAATATAACCACTATATCATTTTCACACCAAAAAAGATTAAAAACTGACTTAAAACCCCCAAACATAACAATATAATTCCTAAGATTTCTGTTTTCTTTATAAATATAACTTTAAAACTTTGGGGTTAATAAACTAATATTTTCTAAGGTTTTTTTTTCGTTTTTCTTTAAATTTGATTTGCGTGGCGGATCATCTCACTTCTTTGGATGGACTTGGTCTCTTCCTTTTTTCCTTCATATATTTTGAAGGTTAAATTGATGATCTGAGGCCAAAAGTAAAGGCTTAATAAATTCATTTTTTCTTGTTGGATTTAAGAATCCATTTATGGTGCTTGGTCACCTTTCACCTTGAAATGAGGGACAAGAGACTAATGGACAGTAATTGAATTAATTGCTTCTTTTCTGGGACATACAAAAATGCATTGTCTGGAACACAGGTATTTGAGTAACTTCCCGTTACATTACAATATTTCAAACTATGTCAAGAGACCCAGCCTTTCAAAGTTACTCTTTTATTTATTTATTTTTTTTTCGGTACGTGAGCCTCTCACTGCTGTGGCTTCTCCCATTGCGGAGCACAGGCTCCGGACACTCAGGCTCAGCGGCCATGGCTCACGGGTCCAGCCGCTCCGCGGCATGTGGGATCCTCCCGGACCGGGGCACGAACCCATGTCCCCTGCATCGGCAGGCCGACTCTCAACCACTGTGCCACCAGGGAAGCCCTCAAAGTTACTCTTTTATCTTTTGAATTTTTCTCTTCCAAGCACACCCTTATAGAAAGCAGGCTGCTGCGTTGTACAGCTCTGGGGAGCACCAGTCATGTTTTGTTGTGGGGTGGGTGCCATTCAGGTAGAATACAGTGTAAATTGGGGTTGTGCAGTGTGGAGTCCTGATAGGCTACCCCTCCACCTCTGCGTTGTTGCTGCCTCTGAACTTAACCACCTTTTACACAAATAGTCAAGTAACCTATAGAAACTAACTCAAACGGAGACAAAAGTTAAGTCCTTTTTGATCCAGCCTTGCTGATAGTGTCATGAATGCCTGTGCACAGACACACAAATGGCTGAAAAATGTTCAGCTTTGGAACTCCCTTAGGATTTTTAGCACTGCTAAAATGCAGATATTCCTGGGAGGGGTAACAAACATTGTTACAATTATTTTTACTTCAGTGTGAATGAGTTTCAGATGCTTTTTTTTTTTTTTAAAATAGAGCTAATAGAGGAGAGGGAGAGGAAGAAGATTAGGACCTTGGTGAAATGGGGGATTGTGCGACTTATGTGGGTAGGTAAAGAACAGGAAGAATTGCTTGAGGGTCTGTCTAATAATTTTACCTTGGCCAACCTAGCCCTCTTCAGCACTGATTAAAGTATTCCTTAGACTTTCTGTTAAGGCCTTTCAGGTTGATTCCTTTTTAAAATTTGGGAATTTCTTTTGAAGATTTCTCTGGCATTGGAACTGACTGCAGGGGAAACAATGGTAGGGGAGGGAGGAGAGAGTAGAGTGAGGTAATTTCTACATTATGCCTCTGTAATTAATCTACCCTATTAATTAACATTAATTTAAACTGCTATTTCATTATTGATATCAAAAATATCATTATAGCAATTTAAAATAAAAATTAAAAGCATCACCTATGGGCTTCCCTGGTGGTACAGTGGTTAAGAATCCGCCTGCCAACGCAGGTGACACGAGTTTGAGCCCTGGTCCGGGAAGATCCCACATGCTGCGGAGCAACTAAGCCCGTGCGCCACAACTACTGAGCCTGCGCTCTAGAGCCCACATGCCACAACTACTGAAGCCCGTGTGCCTAGAGCCCATGCTCCACAACAAGAGAAGCCACCGCAGTGAGAAGCCCGCGCACTGCAACAAAGAGTAGCCCCCGCTCGCCGCAACTAGAGAAAGCCCGCAGCAACGAAGACCCAGCGCAGCCAAAAGTAATAAATAATTAACTTAAAAAAATAGCATCACCTATAATCTTATCTCTGTAACATATCAAACTTGTAATTTTTTTCTTTTATCCTAGACATTGGCTGTATAAATCTATAACTCATACCTGGTTGAAATTATACTGAATTTATTACTTTGTATTTTAATTTATTATGAGCAGGCCTTTTTATTTTTATTTATTTTAATATTTATTTCATTTATTGTTATTTTTATTTTTGGCTGTGTCCTGTCTTTGTTGTGGCGCGTGGGCTTCTCTCTAGTTGTGGTGTTCGGGTTTTCTCTTGTTGAAATGTGCGGGCTCAGTAGTTGTGGCATGCGGGATTAGTTGCCCCGCGGCATGTGGGATCTTAGTTCCCCGACCAGGGATCAAACCCACATCCCCTGCATTGGAAGGCAGATTCTTTACCACTGGACCACCAGGGAAGTCCCATGAGTAGGCCTTTTTAAATTTATGGTGACTTCTTAAGACTGGGGAGAAATTGTAAAGACTAATAATGTAGGTTACTGTTTCAAAATGAAATTTTAGAATGATTAGAAAGTTTGCTTAAGGAACTTTATATTCTATTTATTTTTGAGGTACAAGTGAACTGCTTAAAAAATTTTCAGGTCCCCTTGCTCCTAAAAAATAGAGCGGGAGGGAGGGAGCGGGAGAGATGGGAAGGGAGAGATAAGGGGAGGCAAGAAGCGGGGCAGGCAGACAGACACACAACTAAATTCACTTACTTTGAAGTTAACTTGTACCCATCAATGAACTGTTCTTCTGGTTAAATTAATGTAGTATACTCACACAGTCGGATGTTAAGCATGAATGAGGTGACTATAGTGACATGGAAAGATTTCTAGGATATGTTTTTAAGTAAACAAAGTGCAGGAGGAAAAAGGGAAATAACATATATTTTTAGTTGCTTGTATCTGCACAAAAATCTTGGGGATATATAGAAATTAATAACAATGATTATTTGTGGGGTTGGTTGGAGAGTAGAGTCGGGAGACCGGGATGTGTGTGAGACTTGTCAAGATGTACCTTGTTATATTCCTTTGGTTTTTGAACCATTTGAGTGTATTATTTATTCAAACCCAGAAGTATTCCTTGCCTTTGGTTTTTA